CCTAAAGTCTTGAAGAGCAACTACAGTACCATGGTGAACAATCCTAAAAATCACGCGGTCGAATGAATCAGGAAGAGCTTTCTAGGACAGGCAAAAAAATATTCTGGGACCAGTTTAACCCTACAATTTGTGCTGGTTCAGGAATTGTGGAGCCTTGTCTGTGAGCTCCACTTCTTTTTCCTTTTCTTCTTTTCTTCATTTCTACACTGATTCTAGTGACACTTCGAGGATGAGCTGCAGTTCCATAGGGCTCTCTGTCCCATTAGAGAGCGAGGCACACAGTCCTCACATAAGGCCACCACCTTCAGGACTCTGAAACTAATCCACAGGAGGGGCCACAGCATGGTTAAAGATAAATACACGACAGAGGAAGAGGCCAAATCCCTTCCACCCAGGAAACCTGCACGTTCTACTCATACTGAATAATCTCACTTTTTCCTTTCTAAAGAATAATCTCCATTTTTGTACCACTTTTGCTAACTCCAAGTACTTCACACAACCAACCAAGTCCCGGAGACCATTTGCTCCCCTGAACAGGGGGATGCTGAGCTGAGAGGACACAGGAGCAGTTCAGTCCCTGGATAAAAGATAGTTGTATACTAAAAATTCTTTGCTTAAGGCACAAATGTACCTGTCTGTAATTTTTTTTTTTAAACTGGCACATTTTAGTGGTGTGTGGCATCATCTTTTATGAACAAGTGTGGTGCGAGACCTCATGATGACTCCCCACGAGGATGGTGACAGCACATTAACAAGGCAAGGGGCAGTGGGAGGGAGGCAGGGAGGCTGCACCCTGATACTGCAGGAGTCTGAAGCGATGAGGGCAACCTCTGACCCAGCAGCACCCAAGCTCGGAGGAGAATTTCCGGAAGTGGGGGAGAGGAGGGACAGGAAGCTCCAGCTCCCATTTTACCTCACGCTGATTCTTGGGTAACTGGGGAAGTTCATTTGCTCCTTGTCCCCTAGTTTTGTTTTCATCACAGGTACCTAAAGGAAGAACTGGTCAACTCCAAACACCTTGAGGAAGCTACACACACAAGTGGGCAGGGAAATCGTGCCTGGGGAGATGCTGCTGCCTTGACATCTGCCCTCTCCTTAGGGTACAGAGATGCCTATGCACTGGGCATGAGGAGTGCTCTCCATCATTCCCCTCTGTCTCCTAGGGATGAGCTCCCTCTAATACCAGCCTCCCTCACAAGTCAACTCCTCTATATGCCCGATGTCCAGTGGCTCCGAGTCCTTCAAGAACATCTCTATGGAAGGCTCAGCACACTGTCTCGGGCTTCAGGTGTCTTCTATATCAGACCTGGGCTCTTCTCAGCTTCGTGTGTCCCACTCCACTCCCTGGTCTGCCTAAGGGCACCTGGTTAAGTGAAAAGTACGGAATGAACAGAAGTTTTTATTCATTGGAACCCATGCCTAGAAAGGGAATCTTGTTTGGAAAGTAAGAACAGAAGAAAAGCAATTCTTCGGAAGTGTGGACTATGTTTCAGAATGCAATCTGCTCCTCAGATTTTCAAATGCTACTGCAATTCACACTTCTCTCTGTCTACAGAGATTTAAAACAGGGCTTACCACACTTATGGCAAGAGCACTAAGGTAAAAACAAAGAACCCTGGCCTTCAAGTACTTCTTCTGGATTAACTTCCCAGCCCTTTCAAGTCATCCCATCAGCCCCTAAGAAAAGACAACAGTGGGTTTCTCTCGTAGTCTTCATTACTCTGTCACCCATGATTTCTCATCTTTGGACTCAAATCCTCCTTTTCCCCTTTTCTGTCACGTTTTTCTTTACCTTGGATCTCAAAGAAACCTGGCATGAAATACACACCAGCAGTCTCACTCTATTCTCTCATGACTTGCTGGTTCATACTTGAGTCGGTCACATGCTGTCACTTGTTGTGTGTTGGGTCATAAGCTTCTACAGGGCAGGGGCTGTGGTCCCGTGTTTCCTTTGAAGGCATTTAGTTAAGCATCCTCTAAAAAGAGGCACTCAAAAATCCTTTCTAATCACTTTTGTTTTTCATTAAGTTTATTGGTACATTTTAGGTATACAATATAGTTATATTCATCATTGGGATCTTGTACCTTTACATGATGCATCTTGGTTCTTATTTTTCCCCATTCTCCTGCCCTCCCTTCTACTCCTCCTCCCTTCCCTATTTATAAAGACTTTGTTTCCATTTTTCCCTTTTCTTGTATTTTTTTTCTAATCACTTTTTTTTGGTGGTACTGGGAATTGAATCCAGGGCCTCACATGTGCTAGGCAAGTGCTCTTTTACTGAGATACACCCTCAGAACCTCACCCCTCCCCTGTTTTTTGAATAGGGGCTTACTAAATTGCCTGGGATGGACTCCAATTTGAGATCCTCCTGCCTCAGCCTCCCAAGTATGAGAATTACAGATCTATGTTACTATACCCAACACTTCAACAACCTTTTTTCATGATCATAATCAGATTCTACTTATGTCCCATAACATCTCTTCCTCTTGCTTTACACCCACTTCTTGCCACCTGTGTTAAGACACGGGCAACATCTACAGGCCTGGCCCTGGCCCTCACTCCTGATAATGTAGCCACTTTCTGGTCTCCACTTTACTGGCACACAGGTGTCCTGAACTCAGTGCTGACATGTTTCAGAGTTCCCTAGACTTAATCCTCCTCAACCTTACAAATGCAATGAGCCTGCTTTTCTCAGTGACCCTCACTATTTAACACTTTACCTCCAGGATGAGCATGATCAATGGCCCCCTCCAAAACTCTTTTATTATTCTTTGCATCCTCAGTACCTAGCAAAATACTGGCAGACACATATCTCCATATGCCACATGAGTAAATGTATTTATTGGGCATCTCTACCTTCCTACCGATCTAGCTGACCTCCTGTTACCACATCTGCCTATGGCCACACTCCACAGAGCACTCAGCAATCCTTTGAACATCTAAGCCAGATCATTTATTCTGAGAGTAACATCTCAAGTCCTCAGCATGGCCTACAGGGCTGTATATGATGGCCCCTACTGACCTCTCTGAATTTGTTTTTGCCCATTTTTCCCTTACCCTAACTTCAATGCCAGTTATACTGGTCTGTGCCTCCCTCGTGTATGCCAAGTGCACCCCATCTCTCGGTGCCTTTGCTCTGGCTGCTACCAACTGGCTCCCCCTTTCCCCAGTGTTCAAGTTCCTGCATGCACAGAGGAAGCTGCCTGCTCTCCTTATCTCCGCAGGACGCACCACCACTCAAACTACATGCTTGGTTAGCACTGTGTTTTCTGTCCTTGCCCTCACGCCCCCCCCAACCCCCCACCCCCATAGATGTAGTCCAGGACAGCCAGGAGCTGAGTCCTCCCAGTAGTCTCCACCCACCCTCCATGCAGTAGGCATGGCAGGAGCTTGACCAAGATGCATAACAAGGGAATGAATGTGAATAGCTACATGCGCCCCCATCTGAAACTCATTAGCTATGCTCTGACAGTACTGCTAAGCCTCTGCACTTTGTGCCACGTGAGGGTCCATCCCTCTCTCAGGCACACACCGCCCACCTGTTGCATGAAAGTTAAGGAAAGGGCAGAATGGGCAGCAGCAGAGTTGTAGAGTCAGTCTGGAAAGCAGCTCAGAGATTTTATTTTACAGTTGAAGAAGCTGAGGCCCAGGGAGGAAGCAGGTCCAGGTCCAGGGCCACCTAGGAAAGCAATGGCAAAGCTGGAACTGCAGTCAAGGTTTTCCACTCCAATCTGGGAGTATTAGCTCTACACCATATAACTTCTCAATTATTCTGTATCTGGTCACTTATAAAATACAGTAAATGATAATTATTTAAAATATGCAAAGGGAAATTACATGATGGCAAGGCCTGAGTCCCACAAATCAAAAGCACTGCTTTCCCCAGAAACAAGCTAACAGAACAAGCCCTTCAGGACTCCATGGGAGACTCAGTTCTGAGCTCTGTTCCCCATTAAGGTAACTTCTCAGCAATGCACATATATTGTATCTCTTCTTAGACTCTCTTTTTTGAAGAAGCAGGAGAATATGGTTTAAGAAACATTGAACACTTTATTATTATTTTCTTTCTGTCATGCAGGTGAAGTAAGTCGGAAGATATTTCCTTTCACGCATTACAAAGAGCACAGAAAAAGTATTTGACTAAAAAATGGGTGATAATATTGTGATTGTGACTTTATCTATGAAGAGTCCTTTCTACTTTTTAAAAAGTCTTCTTTTATCTAAATCAGTGGAATTGAGATACATTCAATGAAACATTCAACCCCTGGTGAGTACCAGGGTTTTGTAGTGCTGTAATTCCAATTAGGCCAAATGTCCTTGTGATATAAGTCATATGGTCATTCTATCGACATCTCAGGACAGAGATCTAATGGAGCTGCACCTAGCAACTAAGATAAAGTCCATTCTAAATACAGCGATGAAGAGTAACTTCATAGCTATAAAGTTATGGTATACACACATATCCCCACTCCAATCATACCACCTCCCACCCCACATATCCATGGGATATGACTATATTGGAATGAGGTGGCTTTAAGCAAACATACAGAACTTACACATTCAAATGAGCAGGCTGTACCTTTTAGAGTACTGCAATCACCTTTGGGTGTTATATGTGCACCCCACCAAGGCCATCATCACACAGCACTTTTCAGGAGTCTTGCTTTTAGAACACAGGCTCTCCAGATTCCGTGTGCATAAGGATCACCCAGGAAACATGTGAGGCATGCAGATCCTTAAGAGATTTCCATTTAACTGACCTTGGGGTTTGGGAAATCTGTTTTATAGCAAGCACTTCAGAATCTGTCTTAGATACATGAACGGTAGTGCTTCAGAATATCCCTGACTCAGTCCATAACCACAAACGATATCAGGGTAAGGACTTTAGAGTCAAACTCTGTATGCACACATGTAACACAATGAAAATTTTATTCTTTTAAAATCTCCACTCTTCCTGATGGAATGTAAGAGTGTCTCCTTGTAACCAACAACACTGTACCTCCATGAAAGAGATTCCTAAGCTCCAGACATCAGAATGAATTCCATACTGCTCCCCTGAAATTCTTTCAGGCTGTAAGAAAGCAGAAGGGACTTTGTGAGTTGGTGTGTTATTCCAGGAAACATGTGGACCAAACATGAGCTTGGCTAAGGTGGGGGCCACCAACTTGGTGCAGCATTTTATGGATGGCAAAGTAATTTCACATGCATGTATATATGTATATGTGGATTGCATAAAAAAATTATAATTAAATGTGTGTGTAAAAATCTCATCAAATCCTCTACTCTGCCCTGGTGAACAAGACTTTATCATCCCCATGTCACAGATGAAGAAAGTGAAGACTCTAAGAAGTGAATTAATTTGGTCAAGGATCTAAGCTAGCAAACTAGCTCTTCCCCTATATCAAGCAGTCTTAACTGAGGAGTGACAAATTATACAAAATTATACAGTATTACCACTTATTTGCAATTTGATAGATGGGTCTCAAAGACTAGGGGTTTAGAATTTAAAAAAAACTTTTTTTTCTTTTTTTTTTTTTTTTCCGGTACTGGGGATCAAACTCGGGACCTTGCGCTTGCAAGGCAGGTGCCAGAACCACTGAGCTAAAATCCCTGGCACAAAGCTTTTTACTTGGAAACACTTTCAAGCTTATAGGGAAGTGTAAAGAATAAGATTAGTGCAAAGAACATTCATATTCCCTAAATTCACCTAGTGTCCCATGCTTTATTCCACCTACCAGGGTTTCTTTTGCTATAAGTCAAAGTCCCCTCGGAATGCTTGGTTCTCCTCTCCAGACACGTAGGACAGGCACACTCTACTTCGACAGAAATAATTTTACATGAGAGGTGCATTCTGATCTGCCCTTCCAGGACTTGGCATTCACTCACAGGAGCGTTTGGAATGAACACATGGATAAATAAGTAAGAAAAACTGAGGTCTCACGAAGGTGGAGTAATTGCTCAAGGTTATAGAGAGATAGCATGGCAGAGCTGGGAAATAATGACCCACATTTCCCAGCTCACTGGTTCAACAAATACTAGGATTATTCATATGGAACTGCAGCTAGTGATGGGAATAAGAGGACTGCCGCCATTCCATCCCCATCGCTGTATGCTTTTGTTAAAGAACTGCCACGTGCCAGGCATTGTTTTAAGTGCTTCTCATGCATGTCTCACTTCAGATTCACAAATATACATATAAGTTTGGTATTATCATCCCCGCTTAACAGATGAGGAAAATGAGGCATGGAGAGAATTAGTTTCATTACTGGCCATATGAAACGCTGCATGTACTACCAGTATATAAGGACAGCAGTAGCTATCACTCAGTGACCACCTAGTAGTGCCAGACGATGGGCCAGGTACCCTGCATCCTCCATGCTTCCTAATAATCTTGCAAAGGCAAAGGTTACTGGTTTCACTCTATAGACAGAAAGCCTGACGGTTGCCCAAGCCTGGAGCTATGGAGTAGCGTTGAGTGAACTGTCCATGAGCAGAACGAGGATTCAAACCCAGCTGTATATCTGACTGAAAATTTCTTTCCAGTGTGTCAAACTGTCCCTGGAATTGAAAGTCAGAAGAGCCAAGCACTAGTCTTGATTTAGTGAGTGTTTCTACAATGCTGTCCTTGGATGGCCATCAGAGAACTGCCGGAGGGGCTTACAAAGACAGACTTCCTGAATCAGAATAGGGGCAGGGGGTGGGTGCTCTGGGGATCTTCATTTTAAAAAATAAGTTCTCCTGGTGATTCTTTGATACACTCAGCTGCAGTCACTAAAGATTTCACTATTTTTCCTTCCACTGGCTGATAGTTATCAATACTTAGCATACAGAGTAGAGAAAAAAGAAACACATAAACAGAATTGGAAATCACACAAAATATTTTGGCAATGAAACTGAATACATTCATTACATTTGCCTACTGAACTACCAAAGCAAATGTTGATTGTGAACTAAAAATAAAGCATAGGAAATTAAATTAAAAATGAAGAAACAGAAAAGTGATAATGTTCATAGGTATCAGGTGGCAAATAACAGAGCTCCTTAAGGATGAGATTCTGACACTCTCTTGTTAGAGGGATTATTTTGGCAATGACCAAACAAAAAAATGAGATTACTGTTATGATGCAATGTTAAAGCAAAAATGCTCAGCAAAAGCAGGCAGCAAGCTCCAGGAGCCTATTGAAAAGAATGCATCAGGTAGACAAGGATTTGGAAACACATGCAGGTCCCTGCAACTGACTTAGGTACAGGATGAGCCCTGATACGTTCTGAATTTACAGGGCCAGGATTTGATGGCCTACGGCTGCAGAATTCAAAGCTCATCTCACACCTAAAGCCAAGGTGGCCTGCTCTGGCCTCTCCTTTCCAAATCAAAACGGAACAAAACCAACCAAGAAATATCACACTGGTGAAAGATCTATGATGGATATTTTGCAGTGCAAGAGCTAAGGCTGGGGTTCCCTTCTCACACAACAGCTGTCAACAGTGTGGACTAAATAATACAAACAGACTCGTCTGCTGCACTGATGTACTGAGGTTTAAGTGAAGAGTAAACAAAACCAAACAGAACAAAACCCCTCACCTGTTCTTAACTGGAACGCTAGGCACATGGTGATGATCTAAAGTGCAGAATTCACAGTGGATCTGCAAAAGCTATGGCTTCAAGCTGGTGCTCACACGCCACTCCCTCCAGCTACACCCTGTCACTAGGCATCTACTCAGGGACCACATTTAACTAATCCCAGAACTGTCTATTTACAATGCGACACGCCAGGGTTTACTTGTCAAGAGCTGAAAGATATCAAGGTTCAAGCCTTATCTCTCCTGAAAAAGAAGTTTCTGCTCAGGTAGGCTTCAGAAAATTAACAAGACAGTGCAAATTCTTTAGTGTGTAATCAAAATATGCATCACAAGTGATTGGATTTTTTCCAGTATTGGGGATTTAACTCAGGGGCCCTCTACCTGTATGTAGGTCCCCAGCCCTTTCTATTTTTTGAGATAGGGTCTTTTAAGTTGACCAAGCTGGCCTCTAACTTGTGATCTTCCTGTCTCAGTATCCTGAGTAGTTGGGATTCTACAGTACGCACCCCAGTTCCCAGCAGGCTTGTTTATTGTTTATTTCTTTTTTTTTTTTTTTGGTACCAGGGACTGAACTTGGGACCTTGCGCTTGCAAGGCAGACAGTGGAACCACTGAGCTAAATCCTCGGCCCCTTGAATAATATTTTTTTGGAGAGGTTCTCTGAGGCCTATAGAGGATATGCCACCTTCAACCAGTTTCCAGCATCAAGCTCCTTTCCCAACTCAGCTCATGAGGGCCGCAAATCAGTAGCAGAGGTTTTCTATGGTCACAACCTTTCCCTCTGTCTCCTGCTTATCTGCTGAGGTCCACTCCCTGGGACCAGGAGGAGGAGCAGTTTTAAGAGCTCTTTTGCTCCTGCACTAAGGATGCATGCACTCTTTGGGTTTCTGGCATGCAACAGGGAAATTTCTGTTGAGACCTTCTGCCTCAGGTGGGCCCTGGAGTCTGGTGCCTCTCTGGCCAAAAATGTACTCAGGAATACAAAGCTCTGGTGCTCTGATAGTCTGCTTTCCTCTCTGTTGCAGGATTTCACCCAAAAATTGTCCCAGGCCAGGTGTGGTGGCACATGCTTGTAATCCTAGCTACTTAGGAGGCCAAGGCAGGAAAATTTAAGTTTGAGGCCTGTCTGGGCAACTTAGCGAGAGCCTGTCTCAAAATAAAATTAAAAAGGCTGAGGATGAAGCTCAGCGGTAGAGGCCTTGCCTACCACACAAAAAGCTGAGCTCAATCCCTAGTATGCATGCATGCATAAATAAATAAATAAATAAATAAATAAATAAATAAATAAATAAGAAAAAATTCCCTGGAAACTCCCCATTGTTTTTTTAGTTCTTCAGTGCATTTGAGATGGTTAAAACTTCTTAGACCAGCATTTTTTTCAAAGGAAGAGTTGATTTGAATAATCTAACCTGCTATTCAAAGAAACTAGGGGCTGATGACCTAATTAAAATCTTCCCTCTCATCATGTACTAACTCCAAGAACTTGGGCTAAAGTTATTTCACCTTTGGTTTCTTTATCGGTAAAACAAAGGTAATGATAATACATGGGTTGTGTAAAGATTAAGTGAAGGTATGTAACTTTTTCACTCTGTATCTGCCACACAGGAGTCCTCAGTAAACCCTAGCCTCCTTTTAATTGTCACCTCTGTTGCTACTACACAGCATAAGTAGGGCCAGCTGGGCTGCAGCGTATGATCTACATAGGTTTTATTTTATTTTATTTATTTATTTATTTATTTAGAGACAAAAGTCTTGCAATATAGTTCAGGCTGGCCTTGAACTCAGTATGTAGCCCAGGCTGGCCTTAAACTTGCGGTGATCCTCCTGCCTCAGCCTCCCAAGTGCTAGGATTAAAAGCATGTGCCACCATGCCTGGCTTACATAGATTCTATTCCAGGTAAAGACATTTCCAAGGATTGGAACAGCCTGAGCAAAAAAACCAGAAATAGTAACAAAAATTCAGAAGATAAAAATAGCCATTTAGATTGAATTTCTGATCCCAAAGGATAAGTATTTGAGCAACACATTTTTTTAATTTCCAAACTTCAGTGAGTCATGAAAATTTCAAATTTTCATATTTGATTCTAAAACTTACTATGCAAAACAATGGCTGAATAGTTTGTTAAAGTTTTAGGGACTTTTGTATTAAGAATAGAGTAAAAGAAAACTTTCTTAAACTCCTATTTATTTTATTAGTGCATGTTTGCAGTTCATGCAGTCTACAATCATCTTGGGGAGCGGGTACAGGTGCATACCACAGCTTGTTTGTTTTTTTTAACCCCCTTCCCCTTCCCAGCTCCTCCCTCCCCCTCCAATTCTCCTATCCTATTTTTCATTCTTATTGATATTCTTAATCTTAGCTCATGTTAGGGCACATAATATTTACATTAATTGAGCTTATTAGGTTCTTGTACATGGGACATCTTTATTCAACTTATTTCCCCTTTCTCTGCTCCTCATCCCCTGAACTTTTCCCCTTGGACCACTTTCCTACTGCAGAGATCTACCTCCTAGTCCCCTTCTTTGTTTTCTTATACAGTTTTTTTTTTAATATATGCCTGTGTTTTGTTAATTTTATTGGTACATTTTAGATATACATAATGATCACATTAATCATAGGAAATTTATACCTGTACAGGAAATATCTTGATTTCTTTTTTCCCTCAATCCCCTCCCCTCCCTTCAATCCCTCTTCCCCTCCTTATTTTCAAAAGCTCTGTTTCCTTTTTTTTTGCTTTTGGATTTTTTTTGGGGGGGGTACCGGAGATTGAACTCAGGACCTTGTACTTGCCAGGCAGGTTGCGGAACCACTGAGCTAAATCCCAGGCCCCTTTTCTTTCCATTTTTTTCCTTCTATTCTTTTTTTCTTTTCTCTTCCTTCTTTCCCTTCTCCCCGCCGAGAATAAATTTTTTTAATAATTAAAGTTTCTGAGAAATGGTTAATTTAATATAAACACCAGCCCTCTGGACTCTACAATCCTTCTGGATGAAATTCTTGTAAAATGTAGTTGCAAGTCTTTCATGATTTGGGTGAAGGCATCTATTAGACCTAATTATTTGTCCCTAAAAGGACATGTCCTAGAACAGGGTGCTTCTCTTTCTAGGCCTGTCTCTGATTGGTCAATGATGGGGATGGATCATGATGATTTTCCCAATCTCCTACAAACTCCACTGCTTAATGAGCCCATAGGGTTTTTCCCCCTAAGATGACTCAGGATGTTATAAAAGTCTTCCTATCTTTTTCTAACTGTCATTTTCCCCTTACCTTACATTTGAGGTTACAGGGAAATAAAATAGCATTGTTTATACATGCAGGGTTCTTTCTGATTTATTTTCTTTTTAATTACTTAAGCAGTTTAACCAGCTGTATTTGAGTAATTTGCTCAACTTAATACATAATGAAGAGTCTTAATAAAAAGGTTAAATGCTCTGGTTATCATTAGTGAACATGATACTTTTGTTTTGTTTTGTTTTTTGGTACCGGGGATCGAACTCGGATCCTTGTGCTTGTGCAGCAGGCGGCGAAACCAATGAGCTAAATCCCTGGCCCGAACATGATACTTTTGGAAGACAGCTGTCATGAATGAATGAATTCATTGGGCCCTGGTGGAGGGGCAGGGCTAAGAGTGAGCAGAATAAACCCCGGCCCTGCGAGCTTCATAACCTAGACCGGGAACACTGCATAAATGACTTGGATATAGGGAAGGGCTCAGCTAGGAAGAGGTTAGTCCCTGGAAGTGCTGATCATGTAGTTTTGAAATCTCACTCTGCCTCTTGTTAGCTGTGTCAACTTGGATAAGTCACATAACTTCTCTTGCTTTAATTTCTTCATCTATAAAATGAGAAGAATACTACCTACTTCATAATGCTGCTGTGATGATTTAAAGAGTTAATACATTTAAGAGCTTAGAAGAATGATTGGCACATGGTGCTAATTAAGTGTGAGCTGTTATTATTATTGATGTTATCACTGCACAGAAGTATGGATAAATACAAAGTGAGCGAAATGGGTGTAAAATAAGGGTATTACTTCATTATATCAGATGGCCTCTAATTATATTTCCCTCAGTTTATCATTCATCCTCCACCCCACCACCCCACCTCCATCAACATCAGGCTGCCTGCTGTTTCTGAGCATTTGTCCTTCCTCGCTGAGCACATGTTTTGGGTAAGTTTCCTCTTTACATCCTCTTTGCAATAATCAAATCATCAAAGCTGCACATTGCGTGCCTTCCTGTTTTCTCAATGTATGTTAGTACAATTTAAAGATGTCACACATAGCACAGCTGGAGAAGAGATCATGGTTCCTATTTTGGCCTGGGCTGCTCAGCGGTACTGGCTGATTAATGCAAAGTACTGTTTCCGATAGCTTTCACTGGCATAGGCCAGAGGCTGGCAAAGTTTTTTCTGTAAAGGGCCAGAGAGTAAATACTTTTCACTTTGTGGGCCATATGTTCTCTGCTGCAACTGTCACAACTACTCAACTCTGCCACTACGGCCATACCCAACCTGTGAACAAATGGCTGTGGCCATGTTTCAATAAAACTTTACTTACAAAAACAGGCCTGAGAGATGCAGTTTGCTAATGCTTGGCATAGAACCTCATGGGGAACTCAAAATTATAAAACAGACCAGCTAAAACCAAATCTTGCTGTGGTTAAAAAAAACCCCACAAAATGGGCCGGGGATTTAGCTCAGTGGTTCCGCTGCCTGCCTTGCAAGTGCAAGGACCTGAGTTCGATCCCCGGTACCAAAAAAACCCCCACAAAAAACAGAAAAACCGACCGTGCACAAACTCCCAAAACTCAGCCTTTCTTCCAGAGGCTGCCTGCAGGCAGAAGGCATAAATTAATATCTATACTACAGTAAAACAGGGTTGTTTCCACAGTCCCCGCCCCCAACCTCTGAGCTCACAAACCTCAGTAAATACTCAGCTACTAAATTAAGTGAAGCTCTTGCCTTCTCTCCCAGGCCATCACCGTTTTCTTGCTAGATGTCTTAGTCTTTTTACAGCTTCAACTACAAAGCTGATGACTAGGATTCACTCACCCAAGAAGCAAAGCAATTTTAGGTTTGCCAATGTGAGCTCATGTTTCATAATTCTAATCCTTACACTTTCAATTAACAGATGGACGCATCACATTCATCCATAAACAAAAAGGAAAAAAGTAATTTCTTTAATGTACACCTGGGAAAGACAACTGTAATCTGGATTTGTACATACAAATATAATGCAATTTAATTATTAGAGCAATTTAAAGCTACTCAGAACATGATGGGCAGTTGAGAAGTTGTTTTTTAAATCTCAGTGTTTCCTGTTCTTTCAAAGAGTGATGTTCTAGCATTCAGGAGGGCTTTGTTAATGATAAAGGTGGCTCACCAATCTCATTCAACCTGGTGGAGCTAGAAAGGAGATGAACGTTTTATAAAAACATAATGATGACTTCAGAGGATAATCTATCCCCCCCATATTACTTAGAAGAGTGAAAAAAGTATAAATTTTCTTTAAAAACAATGCAAAACAAAAATTAGCTATTTTGATATCTGAAAGAAAACAAAATATTTTGTATTGTTTTGAGAATAAGATCCAGGTTCCATCCATACTAAAATCTTTTAATCAAGATATTATACAAACAAAGAATACTGAGGACAAGATCCATGCTTCTTTCCATACTAAAATCATCTAACTCCATGATATATACACAAGGGCTAACAGAAATGAAAGGGAGTACCTACATAAATCTGGAGTTCTTATTATTAAAATTAATCCTAACATGTTAAAATGAAAATTCTTTTCCAAAAATGACAGTAAATAAGCTTCCTGCTTGGCTTTTCCTCTCTCATTCTTGAAGTGATTATGGAAACCAATAAACTAAAGTGACTTCCTAGACACAAATAACTTCCTTTACTTGAAACATAAGAAAAAGAGGTCCAAGCCAAGTCTACATTGGTCTGTGAAATTGCTCTGTGCACTTTCCATTTTTGGCAAACTTATTTTGGGGAAACTAACTTATCTTATAATAGTTATGAATCCAACTACACAAAATATAGATGTGCAATTTCTAAGGAAAACTGTCTGCTAAATTCTTATGTTCAGAGATCCATAAATAAAATTTGGTCACATCAGTAATTTAATTCTGATCTGGTGACATAGCATGTTTGTATTCCTGGAAAAAAAGTAACCAATCTTAATGACTGACATCTTGGTATTTCTTAGGGTTAATTAAATAAGCAATGTGGAAAAGCAGCCAGTATGCTAGAAGATGTAATTTTTCTGTAGGATTAAATTTCAAAATGCAACGCTTTCACACTTGAACTGACCAGTTAAGTCACCAGAGTCAGATAAGTTGACAGCGACTGCGTAAACCCTCCTGTCTTTCAAAAGATTTAAAAATTGGATCATGACTGGATTGACTTTGTAATTTATGATCTGCTAGGCTAAAGCTGTAGAATTAATTCAAAAATTCTACATTACCGAGTAAATAAAGATAAAGATGTTGGTTTTAAATGATATTTTTGCATAAGTTTACTTACTGCCATATAAGCATTTGTTCCAACATACGTCTTGGCTATAGAATTCACCAGCTATGAGACAAAACAGTCTGTTAGAACAATATAAAGATAATGTGGAAATAAAATGGGCAATTATTCCTCATTTAACCTACAATCATCATTTCTATAAATCAACTAAAAATTATGGAAAAGGGAACAAATTTATCTACAAAGGCATTAAAAATGATTAAATCTCTCTTTTCTTTTGAATGTGATTTCCAATTTAAACAAGCACAGCATTACAGTTTATAGCAGATAACCTTAAACAATTCACTTAAGCAGGATGCTTATCGCTTTAGTACCCCAAACCCGCCTGATATAAAACACCAATTTGAAGTAGAATTTGAACACACTCATTTTTAGTCAGATGGCTCAAGATGTGAATGGAGCCCTGTGCATCACTAGAATGAAATGAACACTAAATACGCTGGAGGGATAACAGACTTTGACAACTCATAATACGATGGTGACCTTCACTTTGGTCTTCATGTTTGGCTGAGAGTAAAGGTGGCTGCAATTCAAATCAACATCACAGCACGCTCATGGGTCACTATCACCGGGGTTCTCAGGGGAGGCCCAAAATGGAAATTAATTAAAATTTGTGCTGCACATTGTAATGGCCCTCCACCATTGTTGCTCCCAATATTAATTTTTATTGTGGGCCAGTTGGGCTCCCCAGGCACAGCTCCCACTCTGCCCTCCCTTTTGTCTGGCCAGAACGCTCTCATAGCAAAGCTGCATATCAATGAAGTTTGCTATTTGTAAGTAGTAATTACAATATCAGCAGTTTTTACTGTCATTAAACAATGAACAATCATATTCTGATGAAGGAAACTCGCTCGGAGATTAAAAATGAATAACGCACTCCCAGCCAAGGACAAGATGCAGTTTCTGTTTGTCTGGCAGCAAGGTGATTTTTGAACTCAGAGAGGGGACTGGAAATAAAGCAGATGTTGCAAAGGGGACAGCACACTGGGAGGAAAAGAGACCTACCTGAGTGCTTACACCAAAATCACACAGCTTGACTTGTCCTCTCGTGTTTACGAGCATATTGGAGGGCTTCACATCTAAAAAGGAACCAGAGAAGCTCATGTAACTCATTCCACATCGACAGTGCTTGTTTTTAAAAGCACGCATACACATATTGGAATCATAAATTTCTAGAGAAGCAAGGGTTTATTTCAAGTGAAAGACAAATCAAAGCTTAGTTTCCAACAACAGTAAATGCACCCATCATCCTCACCATAGCATTTCAGAAAAAGTAGAAAGGTAAGAGAATGAAATTTTGCAAAGAATTTGCACAAAATGGATTAGCTTTACTCTGTATGTGTAACCATAAGCTACCTACCCTATCTATGAGGTAGTGAAGCCCAAAAGAAGACAAGGCAAAAAAATCACTGACATGATGTGGGTAACAGGTCATATCTGAGCGAAACGAGAAAATGAACACACTACTGCCATTTCCCATGTCTTATGTGACAAATGCTATCTCAGATAATGCTCAGAAATGGAGCTAAAAGATGTTTATGTGTGCACATGCATGCACTCATCAGTCTTTGTTTCATTTATCCTTCTCTTCCCTTACATCATTTTTGACTGTGGTTATAGATAACAAAAGAATTGACACAGCTTTTGCCAAAGCAGTCAGTCGGTAAATAATGACACAAAGGGCTTCTGTCAAACATCGTCAGTGACAACAATGAGCCTTTTCTGGAATTCAGGGAGGCCACAAAAACCACCCAAGCAAGACACAAGCACACTACTTTTTTAGATGGTAGATAGCAGCCCCTACTTAACACTTCATCTTTAATGGCAAAAATGGTCTAGGACAGACAACTGGCTATATTCAATATAGCATATAATCTTAACTACCCCAAATATGAATAAGAGACTCATAATTGTTTATGTAATATTTAAAAAATAACTTGCAAATAAGTCTCCCATACCTCTACCATGCAAACAGGTACCCTAACAATCCACTCTGCCAAGGGTTGGCATTTAATTTAAATTTCAAGTTGAAACTCAGTAACTGCCAACTATGAAGCTCTACTTACTATGTGACAGGCAATAGGCCACGTACTTTCCCAAACGTTAGATCATTTAGTGTTGGCTGACTGACATTAGAAGGCAGGGACTTTGCCTCTTTTATTGTCTACTGTTATCCCCAGGCCCTACAAGAGCAGCAGGCATACAGTAAGTGCTGAATGAGTGAGGGAATGGAAACAGTGAGCACGTGGCATTATTTTATGTTGATGACTGTGTTTCAGGGATGAGGGTTTAACTGTAGATCGTCTATGTAGCATGCCCTTCAGGTAATACGCACTATAACCTGACTGTGGCTCTCTCTTTAAATACAAGGCACATGCACTGCTACGCATAAATTCTCTTACCAACTGCTCTCTCAACCTCCAGTTTTTCCTGATTTCAATATAACTCTTACACCATCATTACATTAAACCTTAAATATACCACTTTCACTGCATCATTTCTCTCCTTGAAAAAATTAAATATTTTTGGGTATGCGCTCCATCCACTCCTTAGTAATATGGTTGTGCTTTTTCAAATGTACCCCAGCAATAAGCACAACACATCACAGACAGTCAGAGTAGACACTTAATAACTGTTTGTCAGCTGGGCATGATAGAATACCTCTGTTATCCCAATTCTCTGGGAGACTGAGGCAGGAGGATCATATGTTTGAGCTCAGCCTGGGCAACCTAGCAAGACCCTGTCTCAAAATTTAAAAAAAAAAGTTTGCCAAACCAAAACAAATCTTACATTCTACATAGCCTGGTCTTATTTTCCAAATCTAATTCTCATTATAGGCCTTCAACTTTGAATATTTTTCTTTTGGACAATTTATTCTCTTAAGATACTGACATCTTAAACTACTCTCAAGCTACCACATCAGATGGAGACAGTTCATAAACGCATACTCTGAGCTTCGAGAAGAGCTACCTGCAAATTGCGAGGTATGCTAACATAGCAAATATTTACCTTCACCTGGACACAGCTCTAACCGAAGGGGATTGGGAAAAGAAAAAAAGAATAAAAAACAAAACTGCTAGGGCTGGGGATTTAGCTCAGTGGTTCTGATGCCTGCCTGGCAAGCCCAAGGTCCCAAGTTAGATCCCTGGTACCAAAAACAAAGCCAAACTGCTGGACCGTATTCTAAAATGCATGGTGCATTTGACTGCATTTTCTAGCTTTCCACAGCACCTCTGTAAAGGAAGCCTACTGAATGCTTTTTGCACATTTAGCCTAGTTTACAAGAGCAATGTATGTCTAAAAGTACCGGACATCCAATGATCCTCAAAGTAACTTCTGGATCCCAACTACACTGTTTTCATCACTGTCATGAAGTAAAATCCCCAATGTTCATGCTGTTCTTGGCTCTCCCTCCCAGCTGCAGATTTAGAAACTCCTCTATGTTTTCTTGTGGCCTGAATCCCGCCCATGCTTCCACTCAAGCACCTGCCTCCCTGCTGCCCCAACTTCTCAGGCCATCAAAGCCACAGCTCCCTGTGAATTGCTGTGGCATCGCTGCCTGTGCCATTGATTTGCAACTTAGCATGTGACACTTCACTAGACATTTTCTCTAGCAGGTATCATCACTCCAGGAAGCCAGTTCACAGGGTAGGGATGTGCACCACACATCTTCATAGGAATTCCTTCCGAGCACAGTATCTTGCTCACTGGTTGTTTCTTTTAAATAATATTAACTTTGCTGATATAAATATCCCTCTTCACAGTAATATCTGGAGGCATAATTTGAATATAACAAATATCTCTAAACAAAGCCAGTGGATTCACTCTAGGAGACAGAAGATCTAGACTTTAGTCTTTTTGATCCTGCCCTAAGTTTGACGTGGGATTTTGTTCTCAACATGTGATGCTTCAGTTTCCACCTCTGCAGGGAGATAAGTTACTGAATCTGTCTTATCTTTTTTTT